TTTTTGATGGGAAAAAAAGGCAATCTTTCAGATCAGTGCCAAGTTACTAGGCTGGTATATATCCAGTGATGTATTAAAAATAGTTCATAAATACACTAGTGACTTCTTCAGGAACATCCTTGACATGCAAACAGTAGCAGAAATCAGGAATCCAACTCTTCAGTACCTGAACATCTCCCTCTCCTGCCACAGGAATGGTGATAATATTAGAGCTTTCGTAATATGGGGACAGGTAGACCCACCTTCCCTCCACTTTCATTCTTTCTTTCTTTCTAATTTTGGGGGGGGGTACCAGGGATCAAACTCAGGACCTCACACTTATCAGGCAAGTGCTTGAGCCTCTGAGCTAAATCCCAGGCCCTCATCTTCTTGCTTGATGGAAGGACTATGAGAGTGCCATGTCGCTGGGCTTCCTCCATCAAAACCCTCCTGTTCTCACTGGAAGACTGAATCACTTCAGCCATGTAAGAGTATCAGTAGGATACTCTGCATGGTTTTGCATGTCTAACCAATGCTCTGCCACTTCTAGTCAAGGAATCCTGTCCATTACACCTGCGAGCCACCTCAGACTCAATCACTTCCCTATCTCCTCTACCTTGGGTGGCAATCACATCTGGACTATTGCAATGGGCTCTAAAATGACCTCCTCCCTTCCTCAACCATGAGGGAACTCCACTTCTCACCATCTCAGCGTGACACCAAAGCTCTGAAATAACAATGCTCCAGAGACAACTTTAGCCACTTCACTCTTTTCCTGGGTTCACATCTTTTGACTTCTAGTATGGTCCATATTTTTCTTATTACTTTACTTTTTGTTTTTGTTATTTTCTTTTGGTCTTTTTGAGACACAGTCTTAATATGCAGTTCAGGCTGGTCTTGAGTTCACTTGAAATCAGGATGGTCTTGAACTCACAATGATCTTCTTGCCTCTCAACCTGCTGAGTGCTGAGTTTACAGGCATGTGCTACCACACCCAGTTTAGCTTCCTTTTGTGTCTGATCTGCATGGCTCTTGTTTATCTAACACAGGAGAGTTACCAGGTTTGGGGTGCCTGGAGTCTCCTAGAGGTGGTTTCTAGGTTCTTTCTTTCTGTCATGAGCAAAACTTTGGTGAAGACAGGTACAAAAGGTATGAAATTTAATAAAGGTAGGAAAAGAAACATGCTCTAGAGAGTAAAAGTAGAAAAAAGTACTCTTTACCATGCAAGAGAGACCACAGTGGCCAAGAACTCAATGGTATCCCTCCTTTCCTATATCCCACTGTTCACACTGACATCAGGTCTAGGCCATCCTACAAAAAACGTGCTCGAGGTCTCATGAGAGGAACTAAAACTGCATTCTCTGGGTCCACATGCAGGCCTTTGGGAACTGACCTGTGCATGTGATCTGGGATTTCATAAAGAACAGGTCACACTTCCTTCCCCAACCTGTTTGCCACGCTTCAGCACTAATCTCCTGCTTCAGGAGACTGAATATGACTAATACCACACAGAGATTAAGGTTTGCAGTGGGAAAGAAGAAAGTTAAGGGGGACAGTCTTGTAGTCATTTTAGTCACTGGTCAACACTGGTATGGTAGATGTTTGCTTCTCTTATGCTTCTCCCTTGAAAATAGAGTAGTTGGGGCAAGGGATTTAGCTCAGTGGCATAAGTGCCTGCCTGGCAAGTGCAAGGTTGTGAGTTCGATCCCTGGTGCAAAAAACAAAAAAATTTAAAATTAAAAAAAAAAAAAGAAAATAGAGTAGTCAAGGTACTTCTATCTCAAATTATCACACTTGTTTCTTCCTTACTGCACATCCTAGCCAGCATCTCCCTGACTGTAGAGAGGCATTCTTTGAACTTCCCCACGTCTAAAAACTAAAATGTGCATTAAACTTCTTGCTTCATTCATAATCTACTGATCTTCTGTCAATGGATTGAGTCTGCGATCACCAAGGCTGAAATAAAGAATTTAATTACCCTTTTAAAATAAGCTTTCTGACTCTTATTACAGAAAAAGAATTTTTCAGGGCTCTTTAGTAAAAGAGACATGAGAAAGATTTACTAGTGATAGAAAAAGGATACACTCAAGAGTTCAGAGAAATGAGGCACAACACAGCTGGAAACTGGGGATCTTGTATGTGTTTCAGGCAGTGAGAGTCTGTGGAATTTAACAATCTACACTCTTAGTATTTTTTTAGCCAGTGAGAGAGGAAGACCACCCAGAATGAGATAATTGTCTGTTCCTATGGGAAATTCCCAAAGGGTAGTCCATGCACGGGTGAAAGAGGTCCATCTGCAAGTAAGAGTGGGCAGCCCCATTCTTAGGTGAAAGGTGTTGTCCAGGTTTGCTATCTTTGGGAGAAAAGGGAAGAAAAAAATTGGGGTGTGGCCCAAAACTGTAGTTTTTCTTAAAAGTACAGTCTTTTAAGTCTTGATTTACTTGTCTCCTTTCTGTCTGGTTTTTACTTCTTTTATCCTACCTCACTACCTTCTATCTCTCCCTACAATTTCCCCATGAAAGCAATAACAAAAACTGCTGCATGTATTTTTTCAAGTAGCCTTAAATTGTTTTGCAGATAAAGGACGTATGAATCAAATTAGAATTTAGGTGGCCATTTGCCCCAGTTTGTGCAGGACAGTCCGAGTTTATCCTAGTTATCCGTGTATGTGTGTGTGTGTGTGTGTGTGTGTGTGTGTGTGTGTGTGTATCCTCCTGCCTCAGCCTCCTGAGTGTTGGGATTACAGGCATACAGGCATGCACCACATGCCTGGCAGCCCCATATCATTTTTAAAAACACTCCCCTTTTAATCTAAAAAGTTCCAGTTTCAAGGAAAAGTTATATGCTTACCACAGATATAAATACATACCAATTTTTTAATTTGCTGCTATGCTTTGGCCCACATCATTATATTTAATTTGCATAAAAACTATGCAATGTGGAAAGAAAATTCTTTTACCTCTATTTAATAAAGGAGAATATGGGCTTAAAGGAGTACCAACTACTGCAGTGACTGAGATGACATTCCTGACTTCAAGGCTAGTCCCACCATGGACAACTGTATGCAAACAACTGGATAATAGCAAATTTCACTCATTTGGTAATCTCCTGGAGACTTAACCACACTTTCATGCTTGCTCTGAGACTGTCCTTCTAATGTTTGAAGCAAGAAAAGGTGGTATAGAAGATATACATGTAACTCTCAAAATGCTAGATGTCAGATACACTGAGTTGGTTTTCACTAAAATCAAAGAATGAATTCTAAGAGACAACTGGGAGTTAAAAGTAGGAAAATTTTATTGTAAGAGATGGCTTCTGAAAGGTAAGAGCGGATCCAAAAATGGATTGCCAGTGAGCCTATTTTTCAAAGGAAGTTTTGTAGACCAAAATCATGAGGTGGGTCAAAACTATGATTGACCAATAAGGATACAAATATAGTGCCTTATGCAATATTGATCCAACAGGAAGAAAGTCATGTAGCAAGTGTACATGGAAAGAACAAGAATCCTTTTTGGAGATGAGTCAGAAGGTCCTGGTCACCTACCTCAGTTACTGGTATCTATTTATTGGACCAGCTAAACCAATTATAGTATTATTGCTTAACCTTTGGGCAAGTGTGTAGATGTGGTCATTTTGTCTTTATCTTGAGGCCTGGCCTTCAACAGACCTGCTTCCTCTTGACTGACTCCCTCTGGGGCCTGGCCCTTTCTCATTGTTATATTTCTATCTAATTTAGTTGTCAGTAATAAAAGGAGTGTGGCTGGCCCTGTAAAAGGGAGTTTTTTGTTTTATTTATTTATTTTATTTGTTGACACAAGGTCTTGCTCTGTGACTCAGGCCGGCCTGTAACTTGTGCCAATTCTCCCATTTCACCTCCCAAGTGCTGGGATCACAGGTGTGCATCAACATGACAGCCTCAAAATGGACCTTTAAAAGTTAAGATTTTTTTTTTGCCCCTTTGTTGTCAAGTGGCTTCCAAATTTCCTCAGGGATGGGGCATGAACGGCTTCTCAGCCTCTCCTCCATCCAGAGGAATGGAGGAAATAGGCAGACCCTCCCATCTGGAAGTCAAGCTTACTTTCATCCTCTTAGGCAAATGAGGGAGATGTCTGGGTAAAACGGGCTCCTCCCTCTCCTAAGAGGTAGTTTTGAATAAATCCTTTTTCCTTTGTATGCATATATATAGTCTCCTTTGATTTGGTCAGTGGAGGGAAGTATATAGGAACCTAAACAGCTGATAATAGAAGGAAACAAAGTACAAACACAACTCTTTTTTCTTTTTAAGACAGGGTCTCCCTATGTACCCTAGGCTCGTCTGGAACTCATGACACTTCTCCTGCCTCAGCGTCCCCTGTGCTGGGATTTACAGATGTGCCCACCATGCCTGGCTCAACATAGGTTGTTAATGAACCCTGGCCACATAACATCTATCTTTGGTTCTACTGAGTCAAGTTATTTCACACTTAATCTAACCAAATTGGGATGGCCAAGTAAACCAAAGAAAGAAAGAAAGCCAGCTACATCATTACTGTAAAGAATATATAAATGGGTTTTGCTGGCTTATATTTTACCTGTTATACACCGCTTTTTTAAAAAACCTAAACCTAAACCTTTTTCCTAAAACCAGTAAAATTTTACCCTCCTTGTGTAAGTGGCGACGAGACGGCTTAAAGACAGGCACAGTGTTTTGCAAAGTCTCCAAAGTATCCTAGAGGTGCTGAATGAGGTGTCCCCAGAATGCCCACTTTGACTCTCAAGGGAAGGCTTCTGGACACGTGGCGCCGGGGCAGGAGGTCCGCATCCCTCCATCCGTGCAGACAGAAAGCCATTAGGCTTTGGGAAGGAGACTCCAAACCGCTGGCCCGTCCAACCAGACCGCCGCAGAGAGGGATGGGCGCCTTCGGGTCAGCGGTGGGCACCGCAGGCTAACCAGGGAGGTGGCGCTGGGAGCCAAAGGCAGCAAGAGGGCAGAGGAGGACAAGCCAAGGTCCCCAGGGATGAGGAGGGGGAGGGGAGCGCGCGCGCATGCGCGAGGGCGCTGTCGGCCGGAAGGCAGGCAGAGGAGCGGCGGCTGCAGGCGCCAGACGGCGCGCTGGCGGCGGGCAAAACGCGGCTGTGAGATGGGGCCTCCGGAGAGCGCCCGGGAGTCCGCCGGGGAGCCCTCCGGTCAGAGGGACCCCGGGCTGCCGCTGACGGAGCCCGCGCCTTCGGGCGCAGAGGAGGAGTCAGCGGACGCCACGGCGACGGGGGCGAACGGCCGCGGCCGATGCGGGCGCTGCCTTCCCTCGCCGTGCGGCTCGCGCGCGGAGCCGGGTGAGTGCGGGCGGACGCGGCGCGGTCCCGCGGCGTGCGTGTGGGCTGGCGGGCGTCTCGGGCCCGGGGTCTGGCCGTCCGGCGTCGTGCCCGCTGCGCTTCGGTCTCCACGCCACGGCGAGCCGTCACCGGGTGCTGAGGGGCTGAGGGGCTGAGGCGCTGAGGGGCTGAGGGGCTGAGGCGCTGAGGGGCTGAGGAGTTGAGGCGCTGAGGGGCTGAGGGGCTGAGGGGCTGAGGCGCTGAGGGCTGAGGCGCTGAGGGGCTGAGGGGCTGAGGGGCTGGGGGGCTGAGGGCTGAGGCGCTGAGGGCTGAGGCGCTGAGGGCTGAGGGGCTGAGGGGCTGAGGCGCTGAGGGCTGAGGGGCTGGGGGGCTGAGGGGCTGAGGGGCTGGGGGGCTGAGGGGCTGAGGCGCTGAGGGGCTGAGGAGTTGAGGCGCTGAGGGGCTGAGGGGCTGAGGGGCTGAGGGGCTGGGGGGCTGAGGGCTGAGGCGCTGAGGGCTGAGGCGCTGAGGGCTGAGGGGCTGAGGGGCTGAGGCGCTGAGGGCTGAGGGGCTGGGGGGCTGAGGGGCTGAGGGGCTGGGGGGCTGAGGGGCTGAGGCGCTGAGGGGCTGAGGGGCTGAGGGCTGAGGCGCTGAGGGCTGAGGCGCTGAGGGGCTGAGGGGCTGAGGGGCTGAGGGGCTGGGGGGCTGGGGGGCTGAGGGGCTGAGGGGCAGAAGCCTCCGGAGCCTGGCCGGCACCCGGACGCGGCTGAGTCAGATCGGGCGGCCCTTCGGGGATCCCGAGGCCACTTTTGTAATTGGTGTCGCTGCAGCCCTGTGGAGTCTGGTTGCAGTTTGATGTGACCAGCCCGAAGTCAAAGGTGGGAGGTCAGCCGCGACAGGGCCGGGGTTATTAGGAGGAAGGAAGCTGACTGAAAACTCATCTTCGTAGGAAACCGAGCTGCTGGGAAGGAAAGTTGAAAAACATCCCTGTAAAATTGCCCTGGATCCTAGAATCTGAAAACGCAGAGCCGAGTGGAATTGAGTTTGTAATCTTTTGTGGGGTAGGACGACTTTTTAGCAACTGATTAAAAACAGGGTTTAGCTGGTTAGGAGTTCCCAGTCGTGGGTACAAAGCCCGAGATCCCTCGTGTAGAACCCATGGTTTTGTTCAGGCCCCACCTCTGACAGAGAGGGAAAGCGAGGTACAGGAAGTTGAGGGCTTTGGACAGATTTTTGTTTCTCCCAACCTCTGGCTCTTGGTGAGAGGGCATGGCCAGGCAGCCCCAGGATTAGGATTTAGCTTGCCAAAGACCTCGTCTACGTTCTTTTCCACTGGAACGAATAAAGACAGATGCCTAGCAAGATCTTTTAGGACAAAGTTACACAGTTCATTCCTTAAGTATGAACTGAGATTTCTTTGCCTCCTTAATTCCATCTCAATTTACCTTCTCTTTGTGTGCACTTTGCTCAATTTACAGAACCCTCGGAAATTCTTGTTCCTTTTCTGTCCTAAATGCTAACAAATTTTCAGACTTCCAATCGTTAATGCATAGATTGAGGTCTCCAAGGATCATTAATCCATAGATTGAGGTTATCTGAAAGTGGGTTGGCCAGATGTGCAGCCCTTGAAGTTTCTCACCATGTCACCCTATGGGTGAAAGCCATTCTGAATTAGCCCTCATAAATTCTTTACAAAAAAAAAAGAAAAAAACTTCGTGTTTATGAATCATCAAGGAATGGTAGATAGTAAGGTAGCACTTAGCAAAATGACAAACCCAAACCAGTGTGAATGCTGCTAAGAATCTAATGGTGTCTTTTAACTTAAAAAGTTCCTAGCAAATACGGATTACTGTAGTTATTGGGAGGTGATCAGGTAACATTCTGAGAAACAGATTGCTATAAAACACTTTAAACCACCATGCTGTCATCCGTAAACTTTTTTTTTTTTTTTGGCAGTGGGAATCGAATTTAGTACCTTGTGCTTGCCAGGCAGGTGCTTATGCTGCTGATCTGTATCCCTGGCCCTATCATGTAACCTTTTGACAGTCTCATTTTAGATTCTTGATTTAAATGGTTGTGTTAACAAACACAGTTGTTTCAAGTTCAGGTTGTATTGTGTGAAACACAGTTATGTTTCAAGTTCAGGGTGAAATTATTAACTGTTTTCTTACCTTCTTGGATATCCTTAATGGTCAATGTAAGGCTGTCTGTCCTAAGATACCTTTTTGGTTTCTTTGGGAACAATGTAGATTCTAGAGTGAAACAAGGGTGTAGTCTTTTTTCTGTTTCTCACGCTCAGTCCTCCTGGAGGAGTTCTATAGTCCTCAAACTAATGGAACCTTTAATAGTGTAGGGTTGTGTTTCTGTTGATCTGGGACAGGGTATGGGAATTAATTTTTAAATTAGTCAGTTGATTCTAATTCCCAGCTAGAATCATGAATCATCAGCTTAAAGTACAGAAAAGCTAAGCTAGTTTTTAGTATTTTTTGGGAAATTACATAATAACCACTTACTTTGAATTGTTTAGAGTTGCTACATTATTAGATATGTTTGTGGTAAGATATGAACATAGAAGTTTATTACATGGCAGATGTCTTTCCGAATTATGTCACTACCTTGAACATCATCTTTGACTAAAAAAATTGAAATTATTCCACAAGAGACAGAATTAAAGGAGTAGAGCCATTCCTTTCCTGCATTAACAAATAATCAAGTTTAGGTAGGCTCTCTAACATCTGTCCTGTCCCAGTGAGGAAACTTGAACCTTAAGTATTTACAAGCAAAAAAAAAAAAAAAGAAAAGAAAAAGAAAGAAAGAAAGAAAAATGTATGTGTTTTAAAAAAAAAGGGTCAAAGGCATAAAATTACATTCTAAAAGTGTTTAAAAATATTATGCTAAGTTATAATATTCCTGAAGAAAAATTAATGAGATTAGGTTGGAGAAAATCCCTGAATTATAGACCAGGGAGATATTTTTTGTCCTTAATCTTCTCATTCTCTTTCATTTGAGGGTGGAGGGTCTATGTGTAGGTTGAATTTCTTTTAAGAAAGACTTTTATTTGGATCTGAATTCTGAAATTTTAGAAGCCAAACTCTAAGGCCAACCACAGGCAAGCCATGTATTTTGTGGTGCTTAACTTGGAAGCCTTCTAAAGCTTCCTTCTCATGGCTTGAATGGATATGTACAGTTCATTTCTGCAGTCTCTAAGCACATGGTTCCAGAGCAGAACATGGAAAGTTCTGGCACCTATAATGATGGCTGCCAGCTCCACTGGCCAGCTGTGCACCTAGATCAGGAAGACTTGGAGGTCTCTGATGAGCAGACTGTCTGACTGTAGAGGTCATCAGGCTGTAAAGCATCCCTGCAAAGGCTGTGTCATCATACTTTGGTGATTTGTAGTCACTCTATGGGCAAAAGAACCTGATGGAAATGAGGAGTTTGAAATGTATTGCTTGGTGTTTACATTTATTAAAGAATGGCATTTTAAAAAACATGCAATAGTATATTGCAGATGAGTAACACACTGGAGTGAAAATCCTCGTTTTCCATCAAGAATCATTTGCACTGATAACATTCTTAACTGAAAAGAAGTAGTTGTGTTTCTTTTTTTTTTTCTTTTGTCTTTTGAGACAGGGTCTCACTATACCGTTCAGGCTGGCCTTGAACTTACTTTGTAGCCCAGGCAGGTCTTGAATTTGCAATGATCCTCTTGCCTCAGCCTCCCAAGTGCTAGGATTACAGGCGTGTGCCACCACACCCAGCATGTGTGTTTTTTATTTTTTCCTTGTTTTTGTGTTGATTTGAAAATGAAAAAGAATTTACTTTTCAGTGTGCAGACTATCTTTAGGGTGTGTTCTGCTTACTCTAGTTTGCTCTCCTCTGCTCAATAAGATTAAAATTAAAAACAAAAAACAGACTATTCTTACAATAGAAAACTAAAGCATGGGAATTTATTAAACCAAAGCTTAATGTCCACATAGGTTGTCATTAACTAGTTGAATACTTGATGCCTTGGAGAATGCCAAGTTTCATATATAAGATCAAACCAAGAAGTAAGGATTAGATGAAGCAGTTTTGTGCAAGGCACATGGGAGTCAGAAATAGACAGCTACTGTGCTCAGTTGGGAGGATGAACTGTGTGCAGTAAACGGTAAAGATATGATCAACTGTTCACAGTTATACAACAGAGGGTCTTCCTAGGTTATATTGTTGCCAGTATATTAGACTCTTGAGTCTTCTGTGAAGTTCTCTTATGCTTTTATTCAGTGTGTATTCAGGGTCTTTCATGTTTCAGGCTTGAATTGGATAGCTGAGGTCCCAGCACCAGAGGAGCTCAAGAGCTTGTCGTGGAAGGTTAATCAACATACAACCAGATAACATAGTTGTAAACTTTTCCAGAAAAGTCAAGTTCACCAATCAGATGGTTTAAGATACTATCATTGGGAAGTATTTTTCACTTCCCTTTTGTAAAATGTTTTCTAAAGATTTCTCTCACCATCTTGGCAAGCTTTCTACTTCCTGAATAAGTGATGGATGGTTCTTCAGTAAGCCAAAGGAAATTCATTTTTTAGGGTGAAACAGCATTTTTAAAGTGCAAATTTAAATTAATTTCTTCATCTATGGGTTTTCATAATTAGCACAGGTGTACAAAGAAAGTAGTAGTGTGGTTGGAAGGTACTATTTGTAATCTATTAGCAATTGACATTGTTCCATTTTTCTGAATTTCTAAATGAAAATGATAATACACACATATACTTGGAAGCAAGGACTAACCAGAATTTAATCTTTTTCAGAAGCCAAGAAGAAAGCTCCCTGTCCTGGACTTGGCTTGTTTTACACATTATTGTCTGCCTTCCTTTTCTCAGTGGCCTCTTTATTTGTAAAAAAAGTGCAAGACGTCCATGCTGTAGAAATTAGTGCATTTCGATGTGTGTTCCAAATGCTAGTTATTATTCCTTGCTTAATATACAGAAAGTAAGTATTTATTAACTACAAAGTAGAAGTAATACATGTTTGTAAATCTTTTAAATTACCTTATTTTTCTACAGTATCTACTTCATCATAGATTTATAGTTTCTGTGTTCTTTAGCTCTAATCAGTGAAATCTACAAAGACCCACCTACTCGTAGAAATTTTTACCATAAGCACATACCACATGCATAAAAAAGACAGAAAGAGACAGTTATTCACCACTACCTCTTTTGAAAACAAAGTGCTCCTTGTATAATTTCTTCTCTTATACTGCCTTCCCTTATTTCTTTCGGCACAACTAGTATTTGGAAGAAAAAAAAGTGCAAGGAAATAGTAGTTTTTCCTAGTGTTTAGAGTTGTCTTTAAGTGGGATAGGCCAGTCCCTTTCCAGGGTAGACAGACGTGGTCATAAAAAGATTTTTATTTTCTCCAGAAAGTGGTTGGGTAACCTTGAACAATTTCTTTCTGGCTACTTTGATATTCAGTTTCCTCCTCTGTAAACTAGAAGGAATGATACTGTGTCCTGTGCTCAGGGAAGATACTTCATGGATCAAATAAAACTTATTCTAAGTCAGATTGATGTGTATAGAACCTAACAATGTAAGAACACTATCTTGGGGCTGGAGATTTAGCCCAGCGGCATAAGCACCTGCCTTGCAAGTGTGCGGTCGTGAGTTCGATCCCTGGTACCAATAAAAATGAAAAAGACAAAAAAAAAAATCACTGTCTTTTCCCCTTCCCATCCCTCTTCTTCTCTGTAGAATTCTCTACTGCTCCCAGGATTAAAACTATGCTTCCCCCCATATGATAATCTATGCACACCCATTTGTACCCAGAATCCTATGAAGGAGACCACTTGGGTCTCCACTGGCTCCTGGCTCATCCTGTGTTTGAGCAAAGGTGCATGAACTCTAAATTAAAAGCTTTAAGGCAACTAACTCAGGATCCCTTTCATCTCTTAGGAGCTAGTCTTACTTCCCATTCCTTTTTCCCAGGATATTGTCCTACTGAGAAATAAAAAAAATTAAAAAGCTTAAATGGCTTGCGACCAGTCTCCTTGCATTTCATATCATGATGTAGATTCACTTAGAATAGTGTTAGCCCATATTCTAAAGAATTGGTGAAAAGTGAAAATTACTAAGATTAGTATTGTCAGAAATTCCTGTGTAAATTATGTAAGTCGTGATATTTTCGAAATAATGATTTTATTTCAGAAGTCTTTGAAGGTCACAATAATACTGAGGCTAATGTAGTCATCTTCCTCATTTAGGAATAAAAGTATTATCAAGAGAATACTTGAAGAGTTTTCTTAAAATCCTTGACCCTAATCTGTTGTGAAGCCTTTTATATTTCATTATCATGGCAAGCTCATAGCTTTTCAAATTGGCCCAGTTATGATCCAAAGTTGCCCATATTTTCATTTTTAACTCCAGATGTCCTGGCATGTCCATGTCACCTGGATGACACCAGAATAAATTCTGGCACTAGCACAGATCAATAAGTTGTTACATAGCCAAAAATTTATATATAAAGTAGGTGTTTGGTAAATATTTTAAATATTTGAATTGAAGAAATACTGAATAATAGTTATTATACTTGCTCAGACACTACCTGAGGTTTTTCAGTGTGTTACAGCTCTATCGAATAATGAAAAGTTGTCTCACATTCAGTGGCTAAAATAAATCTCAGCATTGTGCCAGGCATGGTAGCACACACCTGTAATTTTAACACTTGGGAGATTGAGGCAGGAGGATCGCTGTGAGTTTGAGGCCAACTTGTGCTACATAATGAGTTCAAGACCAACCTTAACTACATAAAGAGATCCTGTCTTAATCCCGCCCCCCAAATATTTTTAGTATTTCTTCAACTTTTGTAGAAAAACTCATGAGATATGGAAAAAATATCATAATGCAGTAGAAAATGTACTTTAGCTAGGATCACATTCTCTAATACAGTATTACTAAACCTGAAATTGAATTTATAAAAATGACACATTTTCATCACAGAAAATCGAAGGGATAAAAGGAAAATTATGTATCTATTTGTAAGGTTCAACTACTATACATATCTATATTTTTGTTTTTTGCAAGCATATAAAGTATATACATATACAGGTAAAATATCTGTGTTTACTGCTTTATGATCATAGTATTTGTGACATTCATGTGTGCTACTTTTATTTATACTGTGACCACTTCATGTATCAGCTATATTTAGAAAATCTTCTTTATTTTTAGAAGGTATATGTGTAATCAGTGGTAGATATTGTAATTAATTTACTAATCCCTTATTTTTTATATTTGGTATTTTTGAAATGTTTCATTAAACATTTTGTTATAAAAACATATCAAATTCATTTAATATGCATTTCTTCATTTGAATTTACAGAGCTGGGTTTATAGGCCCAAAAGGTCAACGACGTTTCCTCATTCTCAGAGGAGTCCTTGGTTCTTCTGCCATGATCCTTTTATACTATGCTTTCCAGACAACGTCCCTCGCAGATGCCATGGTTATCTCCTTTAGCTGCCCAGTGTTTACATCTCTGTTTGCTTGGATATTTCTCAAGGAAAAGTATAGCCTTTGGGATGCTTTCTTCACCTTGTTCACAATCACTGGAGTGATCCTTATCGTGAGACCACCATTTTTATTTGGTTCCGACACTTCGGGGATGGAAGGAAGCTATTCAGTCCACCTTAAGGGAACATTTGCAGCTATTGGACATGCTGTGTTTGCTGCATTGACTCTAGTTATCCTAAGAAAAATGGGAAAATCTGTGGACTACTTTCTGAGCATTTGGTATTATGTCATACTGGGCCTCGCTGAAAGTATTGTCGTCCTCTTTATACTAGGAGAATGGAGTCTGCCTTACTGTGGGCTGGACAGGCTGTTTCTCATACTCATCGGGCTCTTAGGTTTGGGGGGTCAGGTATTTATCACAAAGGCAGTTCAGGTAGAAAAAGCAGGACCTGTAGCAATAATGAAAACAATGGATGTGGTCTTTGCTTTTATCTTTCAGATTATTTTCTTTAATGATATACCAACCTGGTGGACAGTGGGTGGTGCTATCTGCGTAGTAGCCAGTAGTACTGGAGCGATTGTTCGCAAATGGTTTCAGAGTTCCAATTAAGTATCACTGCTGAAATTTAGATTTTTTTTTAAACATACCATAAACCAGTTGAGACATACCACTCACATACACACATAACTGGAAAATGCATTTATTCCTCAATCATATTTAATAAATTTTATAAATAAACAACCGTTTTTTTAAAAAAAACTATGGTATGTTTTCAATTAAGAATAGCTACTCTGGTGTAGAAAGTTTTGTTATTTTGATTTTTTTGGGGGGGAGGTACTGGCGAGGAGAAAGGTCATTATTTGAAATAAAACTACAAAAAATTTATGACTAATATATATAATTTTTAGATATATTTTTGGTACACATAGGAGATGGGTTGGGAAAATTTTAGATATTCTTTTAGTGGTGAGGAACCTAAGAAACTTACAATGCTGCTATCGTTAGTCTTACGTTAGTTCATTTGCAACATAATTCCTTCTAGGATGCCAAAGCTGAATTTGGTATAGGTGCCTACGTACTGGTATTAATATAAATGAGTTGCCTTATTTTCAAGGGTTTTATAAATGATTATCACACTTAACTCATACCTGTGCCTTTTCATTTTAATGCTAGGATTTTTATATGTGACTCCTGAAAGGTCTTTAAATTGCCAAATTTGGTGACTATTTCTATACTAAATTTGGTGAATAATTTTCTGTTTCAATGGCATTAGCAACTAGCTATCATTTTGTAATTTTAGTTGTCCTCTGTTTTATTGAAACTGCTTAATTTATTTTAAGGTTTCAAGATTTCTAATCTTTAAGTCACAATCCAGAAATCTTGGCATGACCAATGTGCACATTTACGTCCTGAAATGTTTTCTCCTCACTTGAGATGTGGTTTTCTATAAATTCTCTTTGATTTATATAGTATGATGCCAAATAAAATTTTCTCAGGATCTTATTAGGTTGAACAGTATGAAATTGCAAAGATTTGACCATTTTAATAGATGAAACCCATAGTTTCATAAGGGTCACTTTGATAGATTGTCTCCCTGTGTTGCTGAATCCAACACTTGGAGAACTTTGGACTATAAATTTTTAAAATAATTTTAGAAGCTGGGTATGGTGGCGCACTCCTGTAATCCTGGCACTTGGGAGGCTGAGGCAGGCGGATCATTGCAAGTTTGAGAGGAGCCTGGGCTAGAAAGTGAGCCCAATTCCAGCCTAAACTGCATAGTGAGACCCTGTCTCAAAAAGACAAAAAAAAATTTTTTTTTTGAAGTGCAGTTCTGCTATTTAACTTTCTATTATAGTCTTTTTCCTCTGTGAAATTATACTTAAAAATGCTTATGTTAAACATTAAAGATATGTGAATATACAGTTGATTGACTTTATAGTTTGTTACATAGAAAAAAACACTTGGTAAATTATCAGCATGATGTTAAGTCAAGCAGCATCATGATAGTAAAGTCACAAATTCATACTATGTGTTCTTTATCTGGAGCATCATCCAGCCACTACTCTGCAGTTACATTGAATTTGCATCAAGGAAAGCATGGGAGGTTAATTAGGATATAGGACCTACATGCACATTTTACTTTGCCACAGTGAACTCATGAGTAAGGCCTTTGTGCCTCCAACTGAATCAGATAGTTATTGATATCTTAAGGTGAAGAGTTGAAAAGCTTTAAGCTGTTTGCCACCTCAACATGATTCTTCTAAAGTAAATAACTTGCTTCTAGGATTAATGCCTAGTTGAGAAAGGATCTTTTCCAGTAGTTCCAAGGGACAACTTTAGGCATGCGGATTTTAACTAGTACTTTCAACCTGACATATCCTAAATTAAGTTTGTGTAGGTGAGTCATCTCAATCACATCTTTTACCTAACAGTACAGGAATTTATAGACTTGGAAAAGTATTGTTTTGCAAATGTATAATTAATGGAATCGGCATTTTAGAGCTCAGAGATATCTTAGAAATTGTCTATTAGGAGCCATGCTCTAAAGGTAGAAATGACAAGGAAGAAACTTGCTCAAGGTAGATTCCCATGGCCTTATTCGTTAGTTGCCTCATGAAGTGTGGAAAGTGAGCCACCGTGGAGCTACCTGAGGTGGATCAACTCTCTGATTTTCTATTTTGCTTAATGAAAGAATCTCAGACCTTGAAAGTTAGTTGATTTTCTATTTTGCTTAATGAAAGAATCTCAGACCTTGAAAGTTAAATTCCTTTGGTCCTAGACTAGATACACTAGAGACATGTTTTATTTCAACACTGTTGAAGGCTTATATACTTGAATTTCACAATATATGACTAAAGTTAGAGAAAATGTTTCTTCCAATTTACAGGGTATGATTCTGCAACACAATGTCCAAAGTATATAAATTGTAATGATTTTAAGTGTGTATATTTTGTAAAGGTTGCAGTTGCTATATCTTCCAAAGGAAATATTTTCATAACTTGTTTTTATAAGTATTAATAAAATCATATGAAAGAAAGCTATATGTTGGTTTTTATGACTAGAAAATACCTAATGTAACATCCTTTTGAACCATGTGTTTTAAAATTCATTTTCTGTAGGAGACATATCTAGCCATTGAGCTGGGATGTAATCTCAAATTTCAAACTGTTTATATTTTTTTCTTACACTGTCATATCTAACCTAACATCTCCAAAATAAAGACACTAATTTGTTCAATGAGGCCTTCATTCTTCTGTACCATCAAGACCTTGATTGAGCAGCTTTGAATTCTATTTTTGTTCATAGACAGTCTGTTACTAAATACTTGAGTGTCATATTGTAAAGTCATTCTTTCCTCACTATTTCCATGGTTGTCATCTTATCACCTTACACCTGGTTGGCAATAGTATTCTAATTGGATCACACACTTCTAGATTCTCCTACTGAGACTATTCTGTCAATGCCAGAGTAATTTCAAAGCCACATGAAACCCTGATGATGCCTTTACTACGCACATGACATCTGAATTACTTATCTGGCCCTGCTCCCACTTTTCCATGTCCCAACATAAATTTGGTACTTGAATCAATCATTCCACCATCTCCCACCTTTGCTAGTTAAGTCATTCCTCTCTTTCTCCTGCTTTTCTCACCTTTTGTTCACCTTGTGAAATTTCCAGTGGTCCAGCTGGAGCTTTTATGTTTTCTACTGTCTCCAGCTTCTTATCCACATAATCACCTTGGCAGAGAGGACAAAGCACTGGATTAGGAGCTGAAAGAGCTGAATGTGGTTTTGTCACTTTCTAGCTTGGTCCTGAATATACCTGCACCTCTTTTCCTCACCTAAGTAAAACCGTACTTAATTTCTTGGCCAATTCAACCTACAAGTGAGTACCATAGACTTCTAGACCAAACAGAAAGATGAAAATATCAAGTACTGAAATGTGATTAGCACTATAGAGTTGAGTATTCATGTTTCTCTTAAAAATGTCTACTAATATGGTCCTAGTTTCAGAGCAGCCTCACCAGGAACTGTAGGGACCTGTCTTTGAGGATGCAGACTTCCCCTATCCCATTCCTCCCTTCACAGACTCTCTTGCTGGGAGCTGTGATTTCCTAATTGTTCTGCCTTTGCAGATATCTTTATTTTACATGTAGATGTAGCCATCTTTCTGTTTGACTCTAGGTACAATGCTTGGCTTTGAGTTTGAATAGGGAGTGGACCTGATTCTCTTGTTTCTCATGCACTGTTTATGCATTCTATCCTCAGCATGACTCTCCTGTTTACCCACTAAGCATAATTAGTCTATTGATAATCTAGTGGTAAGACTCCACATTTCCTTGATAGTAACTTGGCCTCTAATCTAGGTCTGTATGGCTCTGTGATCACTAGTGGACATCGGAATGTGGTTACTATGGTGTTCTTTGGACAAAGAAAGGGTGGTTACCATCCTAAGCATTCTTTTTTGTGACTTACCTTACATCAACCCTAACACAGCAACCATGTTAAACTTAGAATTTTCCAAGATGCCTTACCAAAAATTCCTTGTGATACACAAAGAGCCATCCAAGTTTTAGCCTATTTTAAATACTAAGTTTAGAGATGGTCTTGAAAACACAAAGAGCTCTGGAATCTTGGTGCTACCCATCATCCCCTGGAAATTGGGGAATGGACTGGGGCTTTGTAGTGGGAAGGGAAAGAGCAGACATATCTATCACAGCAAGGCAGAAATGGTAATCCCACAGCAGCCCTGTCCACAGGGAGAGGGCCCTCTGGGTTCAGAAAATAACAGTACCTGGGGAAAGCTTGGATCTTTTGTACTAAATGTTATAACTTGATAACCATCAGGATTAATCCTAGCAAGCCTAACCATTAAACAAAAGAAGTAGCTTAGTTCCTGATAAGTTTCAGGGTTAAGAAAGCATAAACCCACATTTGAGCAGAGGTAGCCCTGGGCAGAAGAAAGTGTTCAGGTGAACAGCACAGCATTGAGGTGCCAGACAAGGTCAAGAACATGGTGCAGAAACTGGAAAATAAAAGATCAAAGCCAGAGAGTGCATTGTTACCTAGCTTTAAGGTCTGTGCCTGAGGATATAAATACCTGGCCATTCTTTGTTGTTGTTTTTGTCTTTTTGAGATGAGATCTGGCTATGCAGTTCAGGCTGGCCTTGAGCTTACTTTATAGCACAGAGTGGTCTCTCAGTCCTCCTGCTTCAGCTTCTTGAGTGCTGGGATTATAGGCATGCACCACCACACCCAGCTACCTGGCCATTCTTAAAGATATCCTAACTATACTTGATCATGATTTGAAGGTTAAGCTCTATTTGCTTAAAAAATTAGCAGAGAAATAAAAACTAATGACTATATTTGGGATATTATTGCTGTTATTACCGTGTTTTTATTACAATTACATTCAAATTGGTAATTCAGAGTGGAATAACCTTTTCTTTCTTGTGATGCTGCCTCTTGGAACTCAGCCACATTGCTGTGGGAGAGCCTCGGCCACTTGGAGAAGTCCAGGCAGTGAAGAATGGAGATCTCCAGCCGACAGTCTGTACCAACTTGTCAGCCAAGAGGGTGTGCATGTTGAGGATGGGCCCTCCAGCCCTCAGGTGAGTGTCAACCCCAGCTGAAGCTGTGTGAGGCAAAGTCAGTCTTCCCCTACCTCATGAGCTCTGCTCAAATTGCAGGGGTGTGTGTGTGTGTGTGTGTGTGTGTGTGTATGATAGACACAAACACAGATTGTTTTAAACTACTAAAAATATAAAAACAACATTCTTAAACATGTATATCCATGTAATGATCACAATTGTATAAAGCATGCATTTCAACGTAAGACAACTAATAAAAGTAGGTAAGTGTCATAGGCCTTTTAACCTGTGACAGATAAAGCTGGCGAAGAAATCTATAGGGGATAAAACAGTAAAGTTGGTCTAAACAAACTGCATAGCCAGCTTTTTTTTTTTTACTGCTGGGACACAATACCCAATAGCTACAACTTAAAGGAGGGAGATGTGTAATTTAGCCCTGGATTGGGTGAATTTAGTCCATAGTGAGCTGACTCTAGGCAGGAACATCACAGTAGAAGGTCACCACGGACAAACAGGGTTAGTTCATAGTGGCTGGAAAGCAGAGGAACTACGCTAGGGAGTAAGGAGTAAAGGACCACATACACTTACCCAGTCACAATGACACTGATGTATGAAGATTAATGGTCATACTAACTGTTCTCAACATATGACTTGGAGACCTCTGGGAGTCCTCAAGAATCTTTCAGGGAATTACAGTGTCAAAACTATTTTAATAATATGAGTAAGAATTTTATTAGTCTGTTTAATGCACATTCTCTCAGGAATATATAGTAGAATCTTCCAGAGGCCAAAAGACAATGTGATATTATAACAGATTAAGTAATTTATGCAGAACATGTAGAAAACTCCAGCTCTCACCTATTGAGTCACATCGCAATATGTATATAGTAGCTATATATATAGAGAAAAGAATAGCTATATATACTATAATAGCTATATATATCTATGTATATAGATATATATAAAGAGAGTAGCTATATATATTGCAATTCTCCTTAATTATTTTGGCACTTATTTTTCATAAAAATGTTGTTTACATATAATGGAATTATTTTTTAAATTTGTTTTGTTTTCAAATATATTAACTATCTATATATGTAACCCATATAAACAAAATCTCTTTGGAGTCTTTAATAATGTTTTAAAAAGTAAAGAGGTCCAAGAATAAACATTTGAGAACCAAGATTCAATAGACTATTAAGGGTTGGGGATTTAGTTCAGTGGGAGAGTGTTTGCCTAGTACGTTCCATTTCAGCACTGCAAATACATAAAAAATAAAGGTATATTTATTATGGGGGCATAAAAAGAATTAATATGTGTTATGTACATGGGCCAACTCTTCACAATGAATGTGATCATTATGTATGGCAAATATGTACTAATAAAAATAAAGATTATTCCCATTACTCAACTTTTGACTTCTTCATGGTGTTCTGACAAAATGAAACAACAAACAGCAGTTTATAAGTTAGTAAAATGTTTAATGCTCCATTTTAAATTGTCAAGTTAAACAATTTAGTCTACAGAAAAGTTCCAAATTATCTACCAAAAAGAAATAGAAGGTTGTCTCTGTTACTTCCTTTTGTATGTTCTTGGTTTCTTTGTACATTTTTTTTTTTTTTTGTCTTTTTTGTTTTTATTGGTACCAGGGATCGAACTCACGACTGCCTGCTTCCAAGGCAGGAGCTTATGCCACTGAGCTAAATCCCCAGCCCTTCTTTGTACATTTTAGGAAGACTTTGATACTTTTTAGCATGTACATATTGGTATAACATCTAGGAAGGCAATTTAACAGCATCTATCAAATGTACAATGCACATACATTTTCACACAAATATTTCATTTGAGGCATTGATTTTACAGATACATTTGCTTATGTGCAAAATGGTATATACAAGGTTATTTATTATGTGCTTATTTGGAATAGCAAATAAAATTGAACTAGCCTGCATATTCTTCAATAGAGCACTATTTATCTTATGATATGTTTACAAAATAAAATAAAGCAATTCAAAATAAGAACAAGATGCTGTCAACATGTGTGTGAAATAATCTTCAAGCTTGCTAAGTGAGAAAAGCAAGGTTCATATGGTAGAGTATGTGCTGATTTGTATAAAAAAAGTTTTTTAGGAGAATACACAAAAAATTTACATTGGTTGTCTTTTGTCAGACGAATTTGGCAGCCAAAGGACAGAGTAAGAGGAGACCCTTTGATGCTAAGAAAAAAGAAGAAAGGGTAAAATGGAAGGGGGGATGCAGGAAGAGATACACATACACAGAAAGATGTTTACTGTAAACTGGGCTATCACCTGCTTGCCTGCCCAACATTTTACTATCTCCTCTTCCATTTCATCCATTCTGTAAACCAGACAATTCCTGTCTGCTCTGTTACTGAAGAAAATACAAAAGACAAAACTGAGATTCAGCATTTTATTTTATTTTAGTTAATTATTTATTTTTGTCTTTTTGAGACAGGGCCTCACTAGGCAGTTCAGGCTGACCTTGAGCTCACTTTGTAGCCCTGGCTGGTCTCGAACTCACAATAATCCTCCTGTCTCAGCCTCCCAAGTGCTGCGATTACAGGTGTGCACCACCATGCCCAGCTTCAAAATTCAGTGTTTTAATAGGGTTATGTCTTCTAAGAGC